GAAATGGCTGTCTCATCAGCCCTACCCACCCCACTAGCTCAATGGTGTGAGCCACTGAGCCACTGGGAACTCTTTCCTCTCAGCTTCCCACTCTGAGCTCCTCCTCCTGAGCCTTCCTTGAGAGATGTTTTCCCTCATTATTCCTTGAAGGTTGATGTTGTTAATTAAGTGAAAATGTCTGGGCATGGGGCCAAAACATGAATATGTCTTTAAAAGTTCCCTAGGAGATTCTAAGGTACAGCCAGAGTTAAAAACCACCACCATAAATCATTACAGGGAATGGAAACAAGGGGCAACACGAGCACCTTACCCACCAATCCACAGCCACTTTGGGGGAATGAGGTATTTTGCAACAGGAAGGGAACACTTAGTTCCCATTTTTTGTTTGTTTCTTTCAGTCCTGAATTCTGCCCTGCCCTTCAGGTCTGATAACACCTCATTGTTCATGGGAAAGAATGCTGTAGTCACACCTTTGGTGCAGTGAATCAGTCTATAGAGTCCATTGACTCACCTGTATCAACTGATAAGCCTATGCTTGTTGATCAGAATACCAAACAAGAGACAAAGTGGCTAAAAGAGAAAACCTGACTTCTTTGGGGGCAGTTTCTATGGTTATCTACCTATAGAGAAGGATTAGAATCCCAGATGGTAGAACCTTCTAGCTACAGGGAAGTTCATGTCACCACCCTGCATTTCTACTGTCATTACTAGTCACGGGCAGACACTTGGTCCATCCATCCAGGCCCAGAGTTCTGGCTCTGGTGCTGGTCTCACAAGAAGTAAAACAATGTTGAGTCTTTTCCAACTTCAGGCTAGGAGAAAGAGGTCAAAGTAAGCTGAAAGGAGGCTCTAAAAAATAAAAAGAAGCTCAAGGTCTGGGTGGATCCCTCATTCAAAGCAGGAACTAGAACTCATTGGAAATCCACAGGTCAAGAGAAAGCAGGAAAGAAACGAGGCCTTATCATGAAAACCTAACCATGCAGAAGCAAGAGGGCATCTACTGAGAAATGTGCTTTCACATTCCACCCACCAACATCACCACCATCCTTTCTCATCCAACAATGTCAGGGAAGGCCACATAGCTAGCTAGGCCACAGCCACGGTATACACATGATGTGTTTTCAGGAACAAATATTAGAACCACTCAGTCGAAGGAGAATAAGTGAACTCACCCATACCAAAGGTCCAGAATTAGTGTAATTTTTCATAAAATAAGGAAGGAGCATCCTTTATCTTATTTGGTTAATTATTGGTTAGTTGGTTGGCCGGTCAGTTGATCAGTCAGTCAGTTGGATGGTTGGTTGGTTGGTTGGTTTGAGGTTCTTTTATTTTAACAGACTCTGTGCAGGTGCTTCTCAAAAGAGATAAATGATTTTGTTCTCTGAATAGCTTAAGACTTTAAAAGGCAGACTAGAACAATTTTTAAAACATCTAAAAGTTCCTGGGTAGATTTGAAATCTCACCCAACAATCAGAAAAGGCCATGTAGCTCAGCTACAGCCATGGCACACACATAATGTATTTTCAGGAACAAATATTAGACCCATTCAGTAGGAGAGTCAGTGGCCCCCAAGGTATTTCCAAGGTGAAAAGAAGTTTGAGGTTTAGGACTCCAGGTAAAAATCTATCTTCCTAGGTTGTAAGCTGCTTAAAGGAAGAGATTATTTCTCATGAAACTTTATCCCTCCTGCAGCATCTGGAAAAGGGGTTTGCAGAAGATTATAATAATTGCTGAGTGAATAAATGAATGAATTCGCATATGAGTGTATGAATATATTAACACATGACTACCAAAGTACATCACCATCTGCTGGTATGCGTGCATGAAGGTATAAATGAATACACTAGAAGATGACACAGGCTTGCATTTGTTGTTGAGGGAATGAACAGTGTGTTTGTTCCCAGTATCTTTAGAGCCAACAACACCACCAGGCAAAGTTTTGAAGAACAGAGGTGTGGTAGGTAAGGTTGTATATCAACTTGGCTGGGCCATGGTTTTGAGTGGCTAGGCAGCTACAATGCAATGCAACACACTGCTGTCATTATAGCAACCTTTCCTTGGGTTTCCAAGGCAGTATGTCTACAGAAGTAGATTGCCCAATCTTCCTTCCAAGGAGTGGCTGGTGGGTTTGAACCACCAGCCTTCTGTTAGCAGTCAAATGCATTAGGCACTATGCTACCAGACCTCGCTTAAACAGTTAAGGAGATTATTTATAATGATGCTGGGATATCTTCTGGAATCCAAGGAAAGAACAGCCCATGGAATAGCTGGAGTCAGGAGCTCACATACTGTCAGGACTCTATCTGCATGTCAGGTCTAGTCCATCTGTCATTGTATAGCTGCTCACCAGCTGTCTCCACCTTATGGATTCTCAGGACCACATCTTACACCTTCAGTCATGCAGAGAGACTGACTGATGCACTTGCCAGTGGCTGAAGTCCAAAGTACTAACATTTTGCATGTGAGTCTCAATTGCCCAGTTTGAATCAGATGCCCGTGCTGTGTTAATCAGCTTTGGCCAAGGAATTGACCTGAAAGTCAGGGTCAGTTGTGCTACACAAAGTGTGCCATGGGGACTGACCTAACTCATGGATTGTTTGTTACAGTACCAGTACCAAAACTGAGAGTAAATATTTGTAAATATTTATAACAATTTGACATTCAAATGGGTGATTTTGTATTTTGCCAGAGAATCAATTTGTGACATATTGGTAATTAATTTTTTAAAATATAGACCTTCACAACAGGTAGCTTAAGAAGCACCAATAGAAAACATATTTATATAAAACATGATATATAAAAACTGATGTAACTATACAAAACATTGTTCCACCTCCTACTTTGGCGAGTAGCGACTGGGATCTTAAAAGCTAGCAAGCTGCCATCTAGATGCAACAATGGGTCT